CAGTAAGCAGAAAATGTTTTATGCCCCAGCAGAAAGAGTTACTAATTCCAAAAGCTGGTGTAATGCCTCCATCAGCTCTGGTTCCTCGTGCTTTGCCAGCAAAATAGGATCATAGAAATGATAGGCTGGAAGGAGCATGGCTGACACATTCAAAAAGAGAATGACTAGGTCATTCTACCACCGTGTTTTGCTTGCTTTCAAATATTTCTTTCAATGGAGATTCCGTATCCTCCCTCTGTTTTTTCCTGTTTCCTTATCCATGCTACTAGAATTTTTTTTTTTTACACTAACTTATCTTGGTTTCTCCTCAGTCTTTTCTAGAATCAGCAATTACAGTATATTTGGGTTTTCATACGTGTTCTCTTCAACCTTTGATCGTACTTTTTCCTCTCCTTTGGACACTGTCCCAGTTGCTGTTGCAGTGAGGTGCTGAAATGGAACAAAACTCCAGCTGAGGCCTTGCCCAAAGCTAAGGATAGCAGAAAGATTCTTTTTCATTCGTAATGGATTATACTGCATTTATGCATCCCATTGTAATGATGACTTTTTATGCAACAACATGTTGTTGTTATGTTTGGTTTATGATCCAATATGATCCCAGATGACTTTCTGAAGAACTGTTCTCTAATCAGTTGTTCCCCATTCTCTGTGGGTTCAGATAATTGTTCCTGCTGCAACAAAGAGCCTCTGACCATTCCTTATTCGAATTCTTCATGTCATTTCTCCAAGTTGGCAGTATTGTTTTGAATTGAAGTCTTGTTCTCTTGATACAGTTTTAATTCACTTAACTGTATGCCTCTGCAAATCTAATAAGTGTATACTCCATTCTGCTGTCTGAGTTGTTAATGTCAGATCCAGGTCAAACCCCTGTGGAACACAACTCAGTGTGTCCTTCTGTTTTGGTATATAACTACTCCAAGTTCAGCTTTTCAAACAGTTTCACATCCATGTGGTGCTTGTTTCTTCCAACTCATTTATTCGCTGGTAGCATATCAGAATGTCACGTGAGATGGTAACAAAAGCCACACTAAAGAGAAGATAGATAGCAATGATTGCTTTTCATCCATCCATAAGACCTGTTACTGCATCCCAGAAGTAAATTACACTACATATGACTTATTCTTGATACATCTTGGCACATCTTGGCTACTGGTTATCTTTTTGTTCTTTCCTAAACGCTTAAAAATTGTTTGATTATTTGTTCCTGTATTTTCCTAGGCTGAGTGGTCTGTAAGTCCTCTGTTTTTTTTTTTTCTTCCTTAACGCTATTTTTTAAAGATAGTTGCTACGCTTCATCTTTTCATCGACCTAGCACTCACTTATTCTCCCCTAGTTCTTGGCAGTGAGGATCTCTCATTTGATGCATTTCCTATTTTAGGTGTTTCTCTTAGTAGTATTTGCAGAGTAATCTCTTGTTATCATTGGCATCCCTTGCCAGTTGTGTCTCATCCTGCACTTGACCCTTTTCTGATTGTGTCCCTACATGCTGTGTTCCTTTAGACTTGTCAATAGCAATCAGACCTAATTTGCACTTTCTGTATTCTGCTTTTTGTGCTTGAGCTCAGTGAAGAGCTCATGAAGGAGCTAAGTTGATCTCTTACTGCATTGCCTATTCTTCCCTTTCATCAAGGGCAGAATTGCAAGTTATCATAATGTCATTTCTATATGGAAACTACTACTTCACCTCAATTCTTTTCTGTCCCTTTTTAGGTTTTCCTTTTCAATGCAATTTAACCTACTAATTTTTCTAGACTATTGAAGTCTGCCTACTTGATGGCGACTGTCTTTATCTTACTCTTCACCCACCTTCTTAAAAATCACAAATGACCCAAGTTACCTTCCAGCCCAAGTTTCTCATGAAGATTTCTCCTATTGATTAGGATAAAAATCTAGAAGAATTTGTTTTCTCCCTTTCTCCCTTCTTTATCTGCATGCATTAGCCAGTGTGTGTCTTGGCTGATTCTTCTGATTGCTTCTGAAAAACCTGGTTCGTTTGACCTTTCTTGATTTAGCGATGTATCAGCCCATTGCTATGATACTGCCACTGCACTTCTGAGCAAGTATTTGCATCTCTGACATACAGGACACAGCTGGATTTTTCTTGGTTCGGTTGGGGGTGTTTTTGTGTGTGTTTGTTTTTCCTTGTCCTGTTCTTTTTAAATGAATGGTTCTTTTTACAGTAAGGCTAGAGGATGGTGATTAGATGGATATTCAGTATAATCTCTCCGTGCAGATTTACTGGGGAGTGCAATGGGGACTTTGGTACCCTGTTAGTACTAGTGGATGCCATATGTGTTTTGACATAATGGGATGTGATTGTATGACTCCATTCTTGCCTTCCCAAGGAGATTGGGTTTCAGGTATCCCTGCCTCCGAGTGGCTTGACCAGCTCTTGTTCGAAAGTGCTGGTACTAGATGCTATGTAAGCTGTAAGCAGTTATGAAAGGAAGAGTATTTTATTTCTTTTTTACTGGATTAAGCTGCATTTTGCTACCTTTGAAGCTGTGAAACTCCTATTTAAGAATTTGATCTACCCTATTTTTGTATTAGCAACTATGAAAAGTAACTGAACAACTTGTTTCCTGATGTTAAAGCTGTTACAATTACCCTCAGTGTATCGCTATATTACTACTAGTTACACTGTTAGTAGTGTGCCTGAGGCAGGTTTTTTCATATGTATTTCTAAGTCTGATTTAAAAGAAAATTCTGGTTTGCATTTTGTAATCTTTATTTTACCCTATAATGTTGAAAAGTGCATTGAAAGCATAGAACTCTGCAAATACCACAAAGCTGGGCAGGGTACAAGAACCTAGACATATAAAGACAAGAACTTTATACTCTGTTCAGTAGTAGACCAGCCAGAATTTATTATTGTAATCTGAAATAGAATAGTAGAGATTTTTTTTGCTTCATCAAGGGGCCATCATGAAGCTGTTACTCCATCCTCATTTTCCATCTGAATCTGTGTGCCCTAACATGCTCAAGTAACTGTCTAGGCGTGGATCGCTGAACAATGTTATGCATTATCCCATACCAGATGATCTTAATGGTCCCCTTCTGTCTGGACCTGTGCGTAGATGGGTGTAAGAATGGATTTTCTGGCTTTACACATGCTGAGAACTTGCTTATGCCACAGACTAGTAATAAGAAGTCCCATCTATATAAGCTGTGCAAAGGGAGTGGGGGAGAGATCTGTCCTAATGTATTTAACAATATGAGTTATCTTATATTGCATATGTAACTATCAATATGTCATCTTAACCAGGCTGTGGAAAGCCTTTCCATCAGATGTCTCTAAAATCAGACTATTTCAAATCTTTCATCATTCAGAAGCTGCTTTCTCAGAGAGTGCAAATTAGAGTTACAGCTTAGAAGACCACTGATTACAGTTGCGATAGGGATTTTGCCACAGATTTATGAAACCCATCTGTCCTGACCAAAGGAGAGCAATTCAGCTAGTAAAATATAAATGGAAACACTATATATGGCTGCTTTTTTGTAAGTTATAAAAAATAATTTTATAACATTTAGAATAGTTTTAATGAAAAAAATCCTGATGTTTAGATGTCACATACATGACAGTGTTGGAAACAAACAAGTAAAATACAGAATATTACTTCTAATTAGTTTGCTTTACTGTTTGCTGGCTAATCTGTGCTTGTGTACTAGCTGGCCAGTAAGCAGAAACTAATTTTCACGCCAGATGAACCATGTGCTGCTTTTTTTATGTGCAATCAGTCACATGGGATGGGAATGAAGACATTTTGGTATAATACTCAGGGACATTAGAGTAACATTAAAACTTTGTAGAGGTGATCTGGCTTGACAGTGCATTGAAGATGCAGGAAGGAGCTGGTGGTTTTGTATGTGATGAGACGTGATGGAACAGGGTGATGTGCATTGGTTGTAGGCATTCCCGTGGCAGGGATTGCAGCAGTCACAGGGAAGATTTGGCATTCTTGCTGAAGTATATGAGAGATCTCTAAGGGTATCAGGCTAGCTTTGCAAATTGAAGATCCCTTCTTTTTATTTGTATTTACTGCATTAATATAGTTGCATTATACATACCTTGAACAAGGGGGGAAATTTTCACATATAAATAAAGATCTAAATTAAAATGAGAGTATGAGTTAAGGTTTTCTTTCCTGTTTTTAAACACAAATATAATAAGCTGTGATGACTCTATCATCAGGAAACCCAAGATGAACATAAGATAAGCTGCTGTAGCAAAGTTTTATCATCTATGGCTGTGCAAACACTGTTAAATACCTTTATACAGTATGCTTTTCGGGTGGTTATCTACAGTGTGTTAATATTTTACTGATAGGCCTCCATTTTTATTAATTTAGTAACAAAAAGATGCATTAATCCTATTAAAAATATTAAATACATAATATATAATCTAAAATAGAAATAAACAATGGGAACAGGTTTTAATAAATCTTATAATTGACTTGATATCAAAAATGTGCATTATTTTCCAGTATTATTCCTTACTATGGCTTGAATTTACAGATTTCATAGTACAACTACTTTAAAAACGAAGCTCAGTATTTAGGATAATGAAAACATACACTTAAGTAAATAAGTTCCAATTTCTTTTACTATTTTCAACATTTGAGCTATTCTTTTATCCTACTTGTTTTCGTGGTTTTAGACTTGAAATATGCCTCACTGGAATAAGTACTGAGGGTAATGATATATTTTTCTAGTTGTATTTTCTCCTTATCTGCTCAGTATTTAATTATGTACAAGATGATAGCATATATTGCTTTTCCTACATCTTTTACTAGTCAAAAAATGTTTTAAAAAACCTCTCAGCTTTATAGAAGTGGCATTTTTATCAGTGATGGTTATTGTACTTTTTACTTCCTTTTCTGTGAAACTCAGTGTTGCAGAAAAGCTTCTGTGGAGATGGTGAGTGGGAAGAAGGTCTAAGATGTGTACTTGTAGATTTTATGTTGGGGATTTCTTAAGTGACAGTTTGTCTTGTTTCTCAGCCATATTATGTCTGAGTATGTGAGGATGACAGATACAGAGCGTGATCAGATAGATCAAGATGCTCAGATATTTATGAGGACATGTGCCGATGCCATTCATCAGCTGAGAACAGAAGGTAAACTGAGCAACTCTTAAATGTTTCTTCTTAGTTATTGATAAAGGCTAATATAATGCTGAATCTTGGATGGTGAATCTGAAATGCTTTTGGAAAGAGATTGGTGAAGTCTCATTGCCTTTTTGTTTGCATCTGTGTAATCCCATTGGCTGATTAGTACTGTACTTAATTTTCTGTAATGTTAGAGGAAGGAGAAGCCAGAGCATAGAATTTTATTTATTTGTTCAAATACACTAATTAGTAAGTGTAAAAAAAAAAATAGTCTTCAATATTTACTACTTGAATAGTAAGTTAGCACTGTGGCCCAGAGGCCTGAACCAAAGTTCACTAAATTCAATGGTTGTCTCTTTCTAGCTTGTCCACCTGTAAGGTATTACAAGTATAATCTTTCCAAGTTTGAGATAATTAAATAACTTTAACAGAGTCCTGGTAAAGTAACAGCGTTTTTGACAACTTGAGTATGGGATCATACCTTTACAACACTATCTTAGGAAAGTTGTAGAGAGAACTTCTGTTTTGCCATTTTCAAGTTTACTTGCTGTATGTATGTTTTATCAATATACCAAAGACTTTCATCAGCTTTGGAATGCCATCTAAACATAGTTGTAGCGTTATTTGAATCATTGAAAATCAGTCATTCATGGGAACTACATAGTATCAAAATAAGAAATATTAATATATGTGAATTAAAAGGATGCTTGACACAATAAATTCCAAAGATTTCCACCTAGTCTATACACTGGAAAATGTAAAATGTTAGAAGTTCAATATTTTAAGCAAGTTAAATCTCTAGATCTGTTTTGCTATGCTTAGCTTGGTGACATCTATTCTTGTTTAGAAATTTAATTGACATAATATAATGCGTATGTAACAAACCAATAACATAAATATTGTAAGACACTAGTTGTTTTCAGCTTTTGGTTTGTTGTAATGATTTACTGTTTTACAGAACCTATATTTAAATATAGCTATCTTTTAAAATAAATACTAATATATAACATATATAAAATGTTAATAGGCTCTTGAATATAACTTGCGTATCAACTGAAAACGCAAACTTTTGTGCAATTCAGTAAAAAGTTAAAAGTTGTGTTACATCTTTCTTTTGTATTTCAGCACACAAGGGTGTCCAGTCTGCTCAGGTAAAGGAGCACAGAACAGCTGTCTTGGACTTCATTGAAGATTACTTAAAAAGTACTTAGTGTTTATTGAATGGTTAAAAATGGTTTCCAAGAAAGAAATTATGCTCTTCTAACCTGAAGTTTTGTTTACTGTTTATCTTAAACAGGAGTATGTAAGCTGTATTCTGAACAAAGAGCCATCCGAGTTAAGCGAGTGATAGATAAGAAGAGACTGTGAGTAGTGTCAAAAAATAGTTTAACTGTGCCTTTTGTTTGTAGGACATTCAGCAAAACTATTATTCATGTTTAGATTCTAAGGAGATTGTTTTAATGGAAATCTGTAGTTGGATGAGCAACTTCTGCTGTCAGCAGGTGCATTCCAGGGCTCTTTTACACTTCTGGCACGTGAAGTTAAGTCGGTAAATGGCAGAGTGCCAATATAGTGTTGTACTTCTCATTTATGTAAATTATTAAAGCACCAAATCAGTAAAATGTGGGTTAATAAACCTATTGGACTTCTACAAATGCAAGACAATATTTTTGTGTGTCCCATTAAGTAATATTCTGCATAAAATAATTTAGAATTAAATCCTGCACATTGGTAATATGTCTCAAAGACACTATTTAGGATACTGTCTGTTTCGGTACAGGAGATGTTCATTTCTCTCTCCCGTTCTCTTTCTTTTTGTCTTTTTTTTTTTTTAAGCCACTATCTTTCTGCTAAAGCAAGTGATTATGTTGTGAATAAATGCTACTTGAGATGGCGGGTCTTCATGGCAAGTAGAAACATGATTAAAATAAGAAGTTACATTCAAGATTTTTTAACTGAAACAAAAGAGTTTCTGCTTCCTATCATGGCATGTGTTCAGGCTGCTAACATATTGGTGAAAATGTCTAGAAGAAGTTAAAGATTATGTGCTTGCTGGCTTTTTGGTCTTTTTTTTTTTTTTTTTTCTTTTTCAGTCAAGTATCAAAAAACATACTTTTTCAGTTTCTTTTTCTGCACGCTCCCAGGTGTAAGAATGACAGGGAGAATGAACAGGTCTGCAATTTATTTAATACCTGAAAGGCTTTCCATGTCTTCTCAATCTGCATTATTTGAATTCTAACCTTAAGTTCCATTATGTACATTTTAATAAAAAAAAAAAAAAATCTAGAACATACACATCAATAAATAAATTCTTGAGTGTTTTTTCAAGACTTGATGCTGTTTTATCAGTTTGGTGTTTGGCTCAATTGGCTATTTACACTGAAACTAGAGAGATGTTTTCAAAAGTCTGTAAGTACATTTTATTCAGAGTGATTCAGCATGATTAAGCACAACTAGATTCACTCAAATATATCCTCCTGAGACATAAATAGCAGTACAAGCCAAAACCAAGTAAACAAAATACACCAAACCAGTTCTGAAATTTGGTAAGAAGCAATGAGAGAAAAGTAAGGCATTGGTGTTCTTGTAAGTCCCATAACTTCTCAGAAAAAACATACAGAAACGAACTGTGTGATATTTTTCATGTGTAAAAAAAAAAACAAACAAACAAACAAACCCCCAAAAAAACCCAGTATCAGTACTCTTCACACCAAAGAACTTCAAAGAAAGATAGCATGGTTCCTGCAGTTATAGAATTGGTTAACAAATACCAGCTCTTGTTTGTTGTACTCTTGCATTACTGTTTCCATGTGAAATCCCAGGTTCAAGATTTCTCAGATGACTAAACAGAGAAAACTACTCAATTTGATGTACGCTAAACATGGAGCAATGAAAGAGCTATTTCAGAAGTTAGAATACCACTTAAATAAAGAGCAATAAGGCATTAAAAAAATAACCCAGAAGATGCAGTCCTTTTATGTAATACTGGAAGATACATCTTTGCCTCTCTTTACAGATGTAAGAACTAGAAAACAGATGTTGGCCAGGTGGAGTCTGTATGCGTTGCAGATGTGATGTAATGGCTAAATTGTCATTTAAATTAAAATTCAATTTAAATAAATCACAGGGCATAAACCAATCTTTATGATGACTCGAAGAAAAATTGTCTTTTTTCATATGCCTTCAACTAGTTGATTCATAATTTCCCCAAGGATTTCAGCAGATGCTTTATGTGGTAATAAGAATTTGTTCCATCACTTTAAAGAATGCCTAGTTCTTTTAATAGTGCATCCCAGGCACTTTGTTCGTTTTTAATTGAAAACTTCGTACATTAGCATACTGTGCAAAGTAAGGACAACAAACAATAAAGGAATACATTTCTTTAGAAGTAAATTAATCCTAGTGCAGATCTTCTTTCCTGCAATTTAGTCAACTTAAAATATGTGCGTATCAGACAATCCTGAAAGGTTTGCAGTAGAAATATACTTCATCATGTTTCCTTTTAGTCTGATAAACATCCTAAGCTCTTCAATAAATTGCCTGAGTGTTATAATTTTCTTACATAAGTTGCCTTTATGTATTAACTCATATTATTTTGATTAAAAAGTTCTGCCAATTACATAGGACTAGTTCCCCAGAATGAAAAGCTGAGAAATAGAAACACAAGCAGCTTTTTCTGTAGAGGTACTTGGTTGTAATTTTCAGGTTTTATGTTTATTGGTATTCAAAATTATATTTCATTTCAATTTTAACTTCTTTTTCCATTAGAATATCTTGTGAATTTTGTATGCAGTTATTAAAATAAAGCTGATATTTTTATTATCTGGGGAATTGGCATTTTATTAGTATCATAACTATTATTTGAACTGCTTGGATATCCAGATAAGTCTTTTTTCCTCATTATTAGGCAAATTTGGGACTTGAGAGGGAGGAGACGAGAGGAGAAGAGTTCTTTTTTGTAAAATTACCAAAATCCCAGTACTTGCAGAGTTTGTAGAACTAAGAAAGGTTCCCTGTTACTGTTTTTTCTTACTTAAATAACATAGTCACTCAGTGATGATTAATGCATTATATTCTTTTTTCTCAGAATTTTCTAATTATGGGTTAGAATTTAGACGGTACAAAGAAGGAAAGGGACACAAAATGCAACACCTTCTGTTAAGCAGCAAGGGAAGATTGCAGACTGTAATGAGATTAACTGTCGATTATATTTGAGAGGGAAGGAAGTGATGAAGGTGGCACAGCAGGGATTCAGCCCATTGCTTTTTGGTTTTTTGTTCTTTAGCTTCTCTAACAGCATAATTGCTAAGCATTTAACTGTCTACTACGTAGCAGTTACAGAATTCATAGTAGGCAACAATAAACCACAGAAGTTTACTGGAAAAAATATGTTGCCGCTAATTTTAAACTTTTTTTGGTGCCACAGTGAAATGTACTTGACAAGTACTTAATATATAATCAGAGAATATGCTTCTCATTTTTTTGCATTGCCATTGTATTAAAATTACATAGCAGGGACTTAGGTGTAGTATATATCTGTCCACTGCATACGTTCTTTCTTTTCCTTGCTTCTAAATGGTCTATTGTGTCTTTTGGCAGACAAGATAAGGATCGCTTTCATCCTGGTTAAACTGTTCTTTAAAGCTAGTTAAACAAAAATATTTGTTTCAGGGAAAAGCTAATTCTATTGTATTTTCTTACTTTACGATAATTGACAATATAAAGTAAAATTGTAATTATTACTGGCGGGGGGAAGTAGTGGTGTTGGCTATTGCTACTAAAAAGAATTTTCAGTATGACCAAAACATTGGTTGGTTGTTTTAAATATATATTTTAATACCCTGGATTTTTGAAAGGAAGTTTAATAAAATGTCTGTGGTTTTATGCTATAGCCTTCAAAATTCTCCTCAACTCTGAACACGTAATGTGTTTTGTTCAGGAGTACTGTTCATGCTTTCTTTGCTTTTGTAATAATATTTCAGTGAAAGTTGCTAAGTAATTTTTGTATCTTGACTGGGAAATCTTTAATGTGAAGTTTGCAAGAATTAAAGTGTTGAATTTAATAATCTGTGCTTGTTCTCGTTTTAGAGAAATTCAACTGTGTAATATCAGTTAAATTATAGGCTCTTGTACTTCTAGGTCCAGACTTGAACCTGAGCAGAGCAATGTGTCCAAATCACCTCTTTCTGCTGAAAAATCTTCACAGAATCCTTTAGATAAATCTTTAATGTGAAGTTTGCAAGAATTAAAGTGTTGAATTTAATAATCTGTGCTTGTTCTCGTTTTAGAGAAATTCAACTGTGTAATATCAGTTAAATTATAGGCTCTTGTACTTCTAGGTCCAGACTTGAACCTGAGCAGAGCAATGTGTCCAAATCACCTCTTTCTGCTGAAAAATCTTCACAGAATCCTTTAGATGATTCTGAAGAAAAACTTTCTGCTGAGGAAAGCAGAGGTAAGAATAAAACGTAGTTATATTTTACTTTTTGTGGCAAGGCCTGTCTGGTCAATAGTACTTACTTCACATTACAAGGGCCTGTTCCTGTGACTTGCACTTTTTCTATTTTCATCTTCCCTGAGTTGATCAGGCTTTTGCAAAGCAAAAGTGAGACTGAGGAAGCAAAATCTTAAACTTTTTTACATGCTTTTTCCAACCAGTTAAAAAAGTCTTATGCCTTGCTGGATTCCTCATCCTCTCAATAAACTCTGTGTGAACTTTTTCCTTTTTATTTATTTTTATCAATATCCATCTACTTACTTATCTTCTCAGATCGGTCTGATTTTTTTCCATGTTCCTTTCACTGATGGCAAGGAATTGGAAAGTAGCTCAACGACTTTCTGGGAACATGTTCTAGTTTTTATGCACAGAGACCTTGAGTTGGACACCTCTACAGTAGGAACTCGAAGGTAGAATATGCTCATAGAGGGAAGGTTACTGGCTGGCCAGATCCAGTAGTTTTGGGGATGGTCTTTTCCACAGCATTGAGTTTCCCTGCTGGAAGGATTGTATCTCATCTTTCGGTGGACAGGAGATAGCCAGAAGTCCAAAGCAGTACCTCTGGCCCCAGGGTCATTTCAGCTGGTGCTATTCTTGACAGGATTTGCGAACATTGCTTCTGATTCCTTGGTGGCCTGCTTCTGAGACCAGGGGATGCAAGTCCCTTCTCTTAGCTCTTTCGGTCTGTCCTGGGATGTGTACGTTGGCAGAACTTCGTTGCAGAGTGCCTTTCAGAGTACCACCACTATGCAGATAATTTCAGGTAGCATACCTAAAAAGAAACCTTGTTTCTGTGATTCTGGAGTTGCTTTCCCTGGCTTGAGTTCTCCTGCTTGTGCTGTCTAGAGGAGTCCAAGGTACCCTGTGATTTACAGCATGAAAATTATTTTTGGAGAGAAACAGAAACTGTATGAAATGTGATATTACATTAGGATAATATTTCATCAAGATAGAAGAAATGCACTGGATGGCCGTAGCATTCTGATAATCAGTTATTGTTTCTTTAGTGATTTTTATTAAAAGAGTAAAGTTCCGCTAGTTGGTGACTTTAGGGCCATAGAAAGGGTGGATTCATGTGAAGTGGGTACTCCATTTCTGGATGAAGACTCTAATACTGAATTACCTCACAGTGTGCGAACGGTTTCATTTTCTGATATGGCACTGCTTATCTTTCTAACCAGTTTGTACTTCTGCAGCCCTATCACTGTGCTTCCCCACCCCGGCCTCCGACACCGAATTTATTGTAAGAAGTAAAGGTTTTGATTATGTGTCGTTTCTAGTGCTTACTACGTTTTTACAGTATGTCTTAAGTGATGCAGCACACAGGCACGTAGATGAGTTTCACCTTAACACGTTATCAGTGTTTTGCAGCTGTGAGCTAGTGCCAGCAGAGAAGCGGCAGTGTAGTAGTATCTTCATTGCCCTGTGCTCTTTCCTTGTTACTCAATGTCTCTGCAATCTCTGAAAGTGTGCACTCCCACCACATAGTGTCATTATAATATTTTAGCTCCAAAAATCTGTGCCACACTGTGGAAAATGCTGTTCTTTGGTTGCCTTGGACGCAGCAAACCACTGCAATAAACAGAAACGAAGCTTTGTTTCTTGCATATTAATTTTGATTACTCCAGTTTTCACTTTTATTAGTTTATGCTTTAATTTTTTTATAAGAAAGTAGGGGTCTCATCGCATAAGTGATGCTGATGCAGTACTTATTAGGGGTTGCTGACTAGTCTTTCAGAAAACTATGAAACTTGTATATCAAAATAAATCTGCCTGAAACAGTTTGTAAATGCACACAGCCTGTGATTCCTCACATAAGTGTAAGTGTTGGTTGCTGCTGCTTACAGAAACCAGCCTTGTGACTTTCACTGGTAGGTGGTTGTCAAAGCATGGGAATAGCATGAATGAGATAACTAGGAAACAAGAAGCTCAGTTTAAATCTGTAGTCTTTGATAATTTTTTTTTTCCAAGTAACTTTTCAAATTTTTAAGAAATTGGAGAAATTATCGTGTTTAGAAATAAACTATCTCATCCTCAGGATGTTGTTGGTTTAGAGAATGGTGATCATTTGTATTTATAAATTAGCCATCATCAGTGTGCCTGGGACCCTTGCATAAATATCTCAGCTGTAGAGATAGTTCTTCTGAGAGCAGCTTGTGGTCCTGTCCTTAAATTGAACGTTAGGATGAACAGCTGAATGTCCTACTTGGCGTGCTGAAGCACAACTTGGGTTTTGTCAGGTTTTTTGGCAGAAACCAAAGCAAAATGTGATTACTTTTGTTCTGAGGCAAAGCACCTGTTTACGTTACAATTATACTGGACATGCCTCATGGTAGGAAAATAGTCTTTCTGGAGATTGCTTTTATATGCTGACAGTATTTATTTGCATATTACAAACTTGACATTTAGTTTATGGAAATAAATGTAAATAATGAGTAGCTTTTCAACTGGTCCACAAGCTTAGCAGCTGTCTCCTTTCAGCATGGAAAAGGGTTCAGAGGATTTGATCATTACTTTGTATCTCTGTCGTGCATTAACTACTTCTCTTTCTGCAAAAGAAATGTAGTTTGGCTTTTGCTGGATGAATTGTAGAAAAGCATTCATGTCAGCTCCATGAAAGCTGCAGAACAACTTTCCCAGTAGCCAGAAACATACTGTAGTGACAGGAGGAACCCTGGGGAGATATGTGTTTCTCACTTACCTCTTACCATAAGTATATTTGCTTATTAGCAATCACATTGGATACAGGTGCTGTTTTTTTAACAGTGCTGACAGCGTCTGAAAGTAATTGGTTCCTCTGGGATAAAATAGGACTATATCTTATTTCTTGGCTCCATAAACTAATTATCTTCTTTTCTTTGAATCCAGTAAATAATTCATTATAATTTTGATATAATGTAAATACATTGATTACCTAAACAAGTAAGTTTTGTGTTTCTGTGAAATAGACTTGAAATACTGATGATACCCCATGGAAAACAGAGTTGAATCCTTTCTAAATAGTCTTTAAAGATATTCTTGTTTATACTTCTTATGACTTGTAAGAAAGATTATTTTTTTTTTTTTTTTTTTTTTTTCATCCTGGTTTGGTTGCTGGGAAGCAAAATATACATTTATAAAGGAGACATACACAACAATACTCTTTTATAATATTTATTTTTCAAGAGTTTTCACAAATATTATAATGAAGGATAAAGGGGGAAATTTCTGCTTATAATCCTTTTCATCTATTTGTTCATAAATAGGACTATTCCTTTCAGAGGCTTCCCAAGAGAAGTCAGTATCTGAATGATGATGCATCACTGCTGCTTAGGCAATTGGAAAAAAATTAGGTTTAGAAGGTTATAACAAAACAAATGAAAATACTTACACATCCCTGAAAAAATTGACTGGGATAAACAGGAAGTCTGAAATCTATGAAAAATAAAAACTAAATCTTTCTGTATTTTAATTTGCAACCTGCATCTGGTAAGTCAAAGCAGGTTCAGCGTTGATCCATTGTGGGGTGGTGCAAATTGCTCTATCAGGTTTTGTAAAAATGTCACAGCCAGTAGAGAGAAGAGAGGCCTTCTCAAGGGTGCAGTCTTATCGTTAGGATTTTAAACACTGATGCTAGAACAGCTTCAGAAACAGTAGAATCCTGTAGCATAGTTTCTTTTCTTTCCCATTCTAACTTCTTCGTCTATAATCAGAAGTATATAATTAAACCTAAAAATAAATCTTCCAGAAGGGAATATCCTAGAAATAGCCGCTCAAGATCTTTTATGCCCGACTCCTGCTAAGATTTATGCAGATGATTAGCTTTAATCAAAGGGGAAGTACTATTGAAATCAGTGAAGCAGCTATGATGTGTAAGGGTTAGTTTGTGGGATCGGATCCGATTCCTGTTATATGCAGGAAGACCCCTTGTATAGCATGCTGTAGGATTTGCACCATAATGTGCAGTTTGAACAGCGTGAGGGAATCAAGTTTGTCCTGTGAACTTTGCTCAAAAGTCTTTGAGATTCTGTTTTTACTTCTTGGAATGAGGAGCTGGTGGCTCTGCCAAGTCTCATTGGAAGAGAATAGTTTGCCTATATGTGCAATATTTGCACATTTTGAAAATTGTGTGTTGTCTTCTGTTAAAAGACAAGTGCTCCGATATTTTGTGCCCTAACAAGTCTTAGTGCGTTGTGAGTTGTTTTACATCCTTCACTGTCAATATATTAGGGCAGCTCCTCGTAGTTCACAAAATTAAACATACGCGTAGACTTTTGACCCAGTTTAGAAGTTAAAAGTTATTGGTGTAATTTTGTGCTGTAAATGTAGGGTGAATCTCAGTTAATGACAAATGAGATATAACAATTTCACAAGCATTCTGAAATGGATGAAAAATTACTTTCACTTTACTATTCAGTGTCCTGCATTGTCTCAAATGTTTGGTGGTTCTTTCACAGACAGGAATCTGCCTGATGCCCAAAGTAACCTTGGATTATGGGGAGACGGCAAAGGTGAAGATGAGCTGTCACCTGAAGAAATACAAATGGTAAGTGTATCTTGTGTCTTATTGTCCATTTTATTATATTTTCTGCTGTATTCATATGTGTTAAGAAAGTACAGATTCACCCAAATTCATTGTCAGCTTTCATTTTATACAGAATAATGCCATAACAAGACATACCTTCTGCACATGGCTTCCTGGTTCTTCTGGTAGCAGCTAATATTTAAAATTGCTCACATGGAGCCATGAAATTAGTAACAACTATTTTTCAACAATTTAAATTAAAATTGTTTTTAAAACTACAATTATGAATTGCTTGTTTAGTCAGAAAACAATAGAAGTCAAGGCAACGTCAGAAAAAGCATTATGAAACTTCTGAAAGAATAAAGCATTGGCCGTTTTTTACTTGGACTATTTCTAGAACACCCCTTAAATAGTTATACTATCTCAGTATAACTATGAAGTTATACTTCATTTTATTCCTTTTTATTTTTTTTGGATTATCAAAATCAGATCGGTTTACTAGAAGGAATAGCTACAAGCTTTCTGTCACAATAGAATCTCATGAATTTTACCTTTTCTGCATTTCCCTGTTATCAGCACGTTTATGTATTGTTTGATCCAATTCTGCTTACAGTTGAACTGATATTCTGCAAAATTTCTGACATAAGCATGATCACTGACAACCTATCTGTTAGACTTTTTGATATTCCTAAAATTGATTGTTTTGAACATGGCTCAAAATTCTTAGAAAACCTCTCTACATTAGCACACATTGCCTTGTTTTATATAAAGAAAGAAAAACTGATTTATAACTAGCCAGTAGATGTGCGGTTTTCAAAACGGTGAGCTTTACTAAGGCAAAGGGCTGCTGCAGTACGAATATGTGAAGCTTCCTTGGCAGTGATTAGAGATGTTCCCAGACACAATATGCATCACTCTTCCCGTCAGAGATGAGTAAGTTGCACATAATTACGGTATGGTTTGTCAAAGAGAAAAGGTTCTTCAGAGGCTGCTCTTGATGCTCTCATGCTGTTCTTGAGTGCCAGTCTGAAATCTAAAGGCTTGCTCCTGTTTTCTGTTTTCTTTTTGAAGAGAATTCTTTACGTATTTTCATTCTTCTGTGTTTAGGCACAATATTATTAGGCCCCTTGCTGTAAGCTTCCAGAGGATCAGGAGGAAACAAGCATCAGAGGTGATGGCTCTGACAGGGCTTACTAATAACTGACTACTAAATGTTGGATTGCTTTTTGTAGGCCTCATGCTGTAATTAGGTTTTAAACATGTTACATCCCTTGCCATGGTACTTTGGGAATAAATAAATTTCTTTTTCATGAAATCCTTTTATACTTTTTAGAGTAAGGCCCCAGATATCTCACAACTTAGATAAGTTGCCGAAGTCTGAGAGTTTTGTTCTATTTCTGTTATCAAGACTGAAGAAAGATAAACATCTTAAAATGCTGATTTTTGCCCACTGAGGATTTGCATTTTTCCCTGGAATAAGTTCTCTTTATTGACTTGTGAGGGGCAGTGATTCCAGGCCTAAATAAGAGGAAAAAACTTATGTTCACAGTTTCATGCTTTGAAGGATTTCTAGACTCCTAAATCTCCAATCCTAAACTGCTTCTTATACGGCATTTGGACAGCTCTTCCTAGGGGAGAACCAACAGACATTTTTTTTTTTTTTAAAAAGCCATTATTATTCTTTACCCATTCAGAGCCCTCCTGTGCTATGCTTTTTTATTATTATATGTTTTTTAAACTTTTACCGGTTGTTTTACACTGATTTACTTCTGTTGTGCTTTCAGGAGTTGCACTTCCTGTGAAAAGGGGTATAAAAATAATACTGATGTTCTGAGTTAAATAAACTTTTAGCTCAGACAGACTATAATATGTCCTTATTCTTAGCTTACACAGTTCTGCCTATAGTTTGCAAGAAAATGTATAGTATGTAACAGTGCCTTGATGTCAGTGTGATGATTAAGCCGAGAAAAATGATTTGTGCTGGAAACTTTAGATCTCAGTTTTATCAGTCTGCTCTGTGGGAAAAGAGAGAGAAATTTACTAGTCTGTTTAGAGAAGCAGAAGATCAAAATGCTACCAAAATAAAAATAACAGACTTTGAAGTCCTATATATATGTTAATACACTGAAATATTATTACTGCTTTCGTGCCATAGTTTATTCTTAAATTTCCATGTGTGAATTTGCATTTAAAACTTACTTTTGTTATGTACTCTCAGTACTTGTAGGATTGAAAAAAGCATACAAAGGGAAGTTACCACTAGAACAGCCTCCTCTCTGCTTATAATTTATTCTCAGTTTTGCAGAAAGCTGGTTCTGAGCTGGATGTCTGAATCACCTGTTGAATCTTGCTGTGGTTCTGGTTCTGATCTCACCCAGAGCTGCTCTCTCCTGTTGTACCTCGCTGCAGGCTGACAATATGACCACCAGTGGTCAGGGCTGTCCGTGCCTCAGCTCCTTCTCACACTGACTATGAGTCTATGCTTCTGGCACTGTTGTGAAGAAATACAGGCTTGCTTTCTACCTCTCCTGAAAATTAACAAGCATCAGTTATTTCCACAATATGCCTTGGAAGGAGTCTATGTGTTCATTTTATGAACACTATAATTAGCTAATTTACAAAGGCTAGGGATGTGTGTGCTGACTATCCCGCAGCAAAACTGCTCTTTCGGTGCATTTTTGAGGAAACTTACAGCTAAGAGTTGGCCTTTATTAGTAAAAGTTGGATACTGTATAATTTCACTCCTAACAGACTTTAAAGTAACTGGATCCATTATGCTAATTTCCAGGTAAATTTGGGTCCAAGCTGTAAATATAGGTGTAACTTAGGAAATAATTTGAGTATTTGAATGTGCATTGCTTTTTTCACTGCTCACATAAATCCTTCATACTAACTTGGCAATATTTAATTACCTCATTGTGCTTTTAATGCAGGAATCAAAGGGTCTTTACAAACAGGTAGCAAACCCTCACAGTTTTAGTTAATTTATTCACTCAAAGGACAGTTCATTATTTCTCCTCTGCATTATGTTTGCTGTTACACAGAAGTTAATTTCTACTCTTTGAACACTTGATTTGTGAAGCTTGGGTTAACTGCATTTAAGTTACTCAGAAGATCCAGCAGTTCTCAGAAGAGGGTAGGTTACAGTGTAGAAACTGCTGTGTTGGTTTTAAAGTGGAATGTGTTGTGTCAAATAATACTTAACAATTCTCGATCATGGTTCCATGATCCTTCCTGGGGGTAAAATAATGAATTAAAGCCCTATCATATTGCTACAGCAGCAATTTCTATCAGTATTTTTCCCACAGGAGAGCGCTTTACATTGTTCAGAATGGTTGGTTGCAGGCTATTGTATGATTTGCACAATAAATTTCGGTTTATAACTCTGAGTACAGGTATATTAATGGTTTTTATAGTTATTGTGAGCAGATGTCTTGTGGTTGCATTGAGAGGGGGAAAAAAACTGGCTCTGCTGTTTGAGTTGTGGAAAATATCTAATTTTCCCTGACTTTATCTTTGTTTGTTTGGTTTTGCCTTAAATTCAGGTACAGTACATATAATGACTTATCTCATGGGATAATAAAAAGAACTGTGATTATTTCTTCTATGCATTAGATTTTTAGACATATCTTAAGCAGTTTGTCACTTTATGCCATACTTTAGTAACAGAATATTTCACTGTCATAAAAGAGGCTACTTTAATAAGCCATAAATCATTGAGCTATACTGATCCCTAGAGTTTTTGGTTTATGTTCCCATCATGTAAATCCCTTTGACACACTGGTATACGATGTGTTCTGCGCTCTAACCTTTTGTTCAATTGACTATTTTAGCATATCTTACCGCTGTCTGCACCAAGCGGTCCCTCAGCCATGATTTCAAATTGCAAAGATCATTTTGCAGTTCAAAAGGCAATCCGTGCCAGTGGAGGGTTTTAAATATCAAAGGGACTTTTTAAAGAATACTTTCTCAAGTGGATTTGTGCTATTTGTAAGGGATTAAAATAATTCACTGTTTCTTTATTGAAAATTTGCCTTCTATATTAGTTATCATCTCAGTTTCTAAGGCAGCAAAATAGGGAATTTTTGATGTTGAATATTTGTCCAGAAATACTTATCCTTACAGTAGTCAGAAAAACAATTACGGCTTCCTGGCCCCATTTAGTCACTTAGGGACCAACCAGTTGACTCAGTGCTAAATCTCGTGGCTCTATTTCATTGCTCTGTTCCTTGGCTTTGTTCTGAGATGACTCCACAGAAACCAGAGACATACAGTGGTGTGAACGTAATGGAGTCCAGTGATGAAACACCTTTAACCATCCGCCACTGTGAAGTAAATATCACTGTATTAGTCAATTATATTTTAAGAAATGCTCTGCTCTGTAGAAGGAGACACTACAGACAGCAGCGACAATGACATTTGAATGTCTTGCAACCCTGGTACTTTTTTATTTAACAAAACCATTGGATCTTTAGAGTGGTACTTCAGGGAGCTGTGCAGTATGTTCCTCTCTGTTCCCCCTCGACCCGTGGGGCTGGGCGCCTTCCCTGAGGCCTCTACCCCACATTGAAGGTGACAGTGCCCGACAGCCCTCCTCCTCGTCTGTGCTCTTGGACTCTTGGAGTCCTTTAACCAAGGAGAGAAAGCTGTTCTTGCCCATCAGGTAGACGGTGAACCTCTAGTACAAAAAGAAATTCGTATTTTAAAAGAAAGAAAAAACAATTTTTTCATTATTCTTCATGACATAAATCCCGTGGGGCGCGCCTTTCCTGAGGCCTCTACCCCACATTGAAGGTGACAGTGCCCGACAGCCCTCCTCCTCGTCTGTGCTCTTGGACTCTTGGAGTCCTTTAACCAAGGAGAGAAAGCTGTTCTTGCCCATCAGGTAGACGGTGAACCTCTAGTACAAAAAGAAATTCGTATTTTAAAAGAAAGAAAAAACAATTTTTTCATTATTCTTCATGACATAAATTGCCGATGTCAGAAGACTAAACCTTTTTGTATGAGATTCGCTGTTACCCTTCTTTAAACATACCTGTCATTTCACACTCACTTCTGCCAGATTAAACCTACACATTTCTGATTTCTAACACAGTAACCGTTTCCCTCTAAGTCATGCAGGTTGACATTTAATTTGCTGTTGGCAGAGAATCAGGTACTATTTCTCTGAGGTCCTGATGGGCCTGAAGCAAGATGAAACGTTACAGCACAAAGTGTGGGGGACAGTGGCGATGGTGTGGGGTGTGAGAAGGATGGAATGAAGGTGACGGGTATGAAAGGCGGCTTGCCTTTTCTCATTTTCTGCACTGCCACAGAGCAAGGCAGAAAAGCAAGAAGTCTTGCTCGGCTCCTGCTATCCACTCTCCCTTAAGCCAGCCCTATCTGGTCCTGTGGTGGGATTCAGTTTACTAATCTACCAGAAGACTCAGGTGGAAAAGGTGGTTAGTGAGCTAAAGTGTCATACCGTGAAATCGGACTAGCAGCAGCGCTTGCTTAGGACTCTGTATGTGGGGAGAGAGAGGAGCAGGACAAATTCCTCGGTGGCTGCACTAGATCTTTTTCACTGCACCCTAAGCAGTATACACACTTTATTTCTTCTCTGTGTTAGTATTATGAAAGCACTTGATACGGCAGAAGTTTCAACTGGAACATTCTGGATCATTTCAAGGGTTGCATACATCAGCATCTGAAGCAATGCGTGCGAGGGGTTGCTTAAACTGTAAAGGGAAGATCTTAAAAGACCTGGGACAGGGACGCTGGTGGCATGATTGGGGCAGGGTGGGGGTCACAGTGGTGAGCCAAAGGTCGTCACCAAACGTAGCAGTATAATAATGTTAAATTTACGTACTCCTACAGACTGGCTCTGTGAAAGAAGCTACGGGTCAGATGAACTGTATGTCATATAGCCACTAATTTTCATGTTGCATCTTAATGATGAACTGCGTTGTTGTTTAAACTACTTTGAAATACTAAGTGCTTCATTTTCAGCTATTTGAGTAGCACTGCTCTAAAAGCAGAACACCCATTTGCCTTTCACTGATGTAACACGACCCTCACTGTTGCCATAATTCTCTGCGATTCAGACTTTTTCCCCCTCCTTCCTTCCTTTTGCTTTTTGCACAAGATGATCATTGTTTTCAAATACTTACTCTCTTCTCTGGGCAGCACGTCCTTTTCTTGCCAGCTTAAGCGTTGGGCATTTGCTCAGCAAGCAATTCCTATTGCACTGACTGAAAACCAGGTCTGACCTGTAAGCAGTGCTGCTCTGTTGGCATTTTTATCTTTGCCAACACACTGCTCTATCTTAAAAAGGATAATGAGACCTTGCAAGGTGGCTGAGAGGACTGCTGCACTTTTACTGCTAATGAAATTGTAACGTGATTGAATTTATGCCAAAATCCCAGTGTGTTATGTAGGCTAGTTCAAAATAAGGAGATTAATGGAACTAGAACAGGGCTTGCTGTCTTGCACAGCTCCCGTGTCAAATTCTTTGCATTCTGAATCCCATTTTCTGGTATTCACACTGCAGTGTGCATCACCCAGGTTTGTCAGGGGTGCGTAGCAGGTAATGTTTTCAGTAGAAATGTATATCCTGTGTGCTATTTCTGTATAACCGCACAGACCAGGTCTTTCCCAGCTTTGTGAGAGAAGTGCAAAGATCTAGTCAGTTGTGTCCATACCGCAAAGCTCCAGTTGTTACCGAGGCTTTGGCCGTGTAGAATTAATTGGCAGAATACCCTGAATACGCTTACCCTCCTTCCCCCAAAATGGGACCTGTGACCCTTCCGATACCAGGTGCTCTGCTGTCCCTGATGGCAGGAGCCTTCTGGCTGGGGCAGGCCACAGTGCTCCCCAGAGCGTACTGCCCAGGTCCAAGTGGCTGTGGGGCAGGGAGCGGCACGCTGCAGGTCCCCCTCGGGCTTTTAACCATCTGGAGCTGGCTGCCAGACTGCAGGATCGAAGTCATTCAGGCACCTTGAAAATCCCAGCTCAGTATGTCCTAACAGGTTCTTTCTAAAACACAGTCCTTATGATGTGGTTTCCAACAAACTCCGCTACCACATGGGATACCTTTCTCAGCTGTATTTTGGCTGTGCAGATTTTGTTTCAGCAAATCATTGTGTTCACTTGTTCTGTAATGAATCCCAAATGATCTGACAGTCAAGTACATCTACAAAGTCAAACCTTATTTTCCTGTATAGACTTTTATTTATGCTTGTATTTGAAAAATGTAGTGCTAAAAGTGTATTTAAATGTTTCATTGATTACTCATGAGTTTTAAATGGAAGAGGTCTGCTGGAATAACTAAAGCCAATGCGTTTGTAAAGTATGAAGTACTAGATGTCAAAATACTTCATATTGTAGCAAAATCTAAAAGCTCTTAACTTCATGCCATGGGCAGTACATGAGTAATGTGAATGATAATGCAGAGATGTTGTGAAGAGAATCACATGCTTTCACAAGCCTGAAAGCTTTCCCCACTCAAATTTCTAAAATAACAAAAAAGGACGGTTTCATTGACTATATTTTTCCTTACTGCAAAGTAACTTGAGCAAAATCTTCAAGTTACTTTGGGGTTTGTTTCATTTATGGGAAGAAAATGACAAGCATTACCGTGACTGGTTACAAATAAGCAGATTCAGATTGTTCACTTAGGCCAGTATTAGTAATTCTTGAAGATCTTTTCAGTTGAGATGCATTGTAAATAGCTTGCAGGGAAGGGTGGAAGTTGGCTGATGGGGTGGGGGTTGAAGTAAGTGCCCTGGGTCTGAGCGTGTGAACTCATGTGTGTGATCTCCTTCTTCCAGTTTGAACAGGAGAACCAGAGACTCGTTGGTGAAATGAATAATCTCTTTGATGAAGTCAGGTACAATTCTCTGTTACTTGACAGATTGCTGTGCATGCTGGTCCCATAACCCAGACAACACCCACACAGAGTCAATTTGCTGCAGGACACCCGGCTGCGTGAATTGTGGTGTGGTAGAAGGAGGGACGAAATAGGAGTGCCTGGGAAACGAACTGTACGAGTTTACACACTGTGCTGTCCCACAGTGTAAAGAATGGTTCTGAGTGACCCACAAACTATCCAAAATAGTACTGGTCAAATTTGGAAGGTTTACGTTCTATCTCACTTATCTAAGTTTTAAAAATTAAGTTTTCCATTCATACCGCATTGTCCGCTGCATATACAGACGCCAGTAGGGGAGGTGCCATCACTGACCCCCGTGCAGAGACCTGCCTCTCCTTATGGCAGTGCGGCGGTGCCGTTTGCTCTCCGCTTCTTGTGCAGAAAACCTGAATGGCTAACTCAAGCTAGAGCTTTACTTTTGGATTATTAGTACTAGGCGAGGTGAATTCCGCACTTCACAGTAGCATATAAAAAGGACAAGTCAAAATTAACTACTTGGGGCCCGCCGTGGATTTTGTTGTATTAGATGAAAGAAGGACGATACGCAAGGCTCTCGCAGTGAAGGCCGCCAGCTGGGAACTTACGGGTGGAGCCCTTCCCAGAGCTCCACTGTGGGCTGGTCGTCTTCCAGCCGCGAACTGGCAGAGCACTAACCACAGGCTACTGCTGCGTAACAGGCGGCTGACAAAATAGCCGTGCCTTTTGAATAGCCCGCTTACCAGGCTGGAGAATCTCAATCTGCAGGAGCAAGAAATGTTTGCACTAGTTTCTAATGGAGTCTTTCTGTTCTTTGCCAAGACAAATTGAAGGAAAAGTGGTGGAAATCTCCAGATTACAAGAGATATTCACTGAAAAAGTCTTGCAACAGGTTAGTATAATTTCATACTACAGCAGCAAACACAGCTTGAAGATTTTCTTGGGGGCGTTTTGGTCTCGGTTGCATGCAAGCTGTAAACGTTAAGATTAATCAATCTTTGACACAAATGCGATGGAAAAGATTTTTCTGTTTGTTTTTCAAATGCAAAATCGAGATATTTACTGTTGGCTACTTATTAGTACGTACTGGGAACGGAAGATGTAACGTGTTAGAATGATCCCTCTGCCTCAGAATTGGTGTCCTGTTAAATGCGTTATTTAATAGCATCTTTTTCTGTAAATGGTGGCACCTAAGAGCTGGCAAAAATTAGACAGATTAAATTTGATTCTAGATAAATGGGAAACTTGCTGTTGATCTTGGCGGTCTCCGTTCAGGCTCATAAAATCACAGGTAAAGAAATGGCAACTTAATTGCCTCTATACCTTTGCATCATTGAAACGAAGATGTTAATAATACTAGGTTTTATATTTGAGTTTTGCTTGTTCTCCAAATCCTTAGAAGTGTTTTTTTCCTAAAATTCATCACTGTTTCTCAATTTTTTTTTTTTAACAGGAGACTGATATTGACAATATCCATCAACTAGTTGTGGGTGCAACAGAGAATATCAAAGAAGGCAACGAAGACATAAGAGAGGTAATGTCTTTAAGTTGTGTTTTAAACTCAACTTGTTTCTCTTAACTTTCAGTTTTGCCCAAGTGTTGCTTTCAACAGCACGTACAAGCTCACCCAGGGTACAGGTGCAGCTGTGTTGGGGTGTCAGGGCATGATTTTGGAACGTTAAGGTTCTTAACAGTTCACAGTGCTTGTCTCGCTAACTGATTTGAATAGCTATACAGGTCTGCAGAAATCTACTTGGCCTCACCTGTTTTTTGTTTAAGCACCTGTGAAGTTTATTTAAAAAAAAAAAGGGGGGGGGGAATTGCAGACTAAGAATGAAAGATGGTGCTGAAATTGTTGAAACGAGTTAAATGCTGAGCATTAGCAGAAGAGTCTCTTTACCATGCTGAACGCATCTCACATGCTCCCAGTAAACAAGTCTATCCCATTGTCTGACTAATTAGAATGAAAGGATGTTTTCTTTCAGGAATTGAGATTTCGGTAAAAACAGAGTTCCTAAATTAGGCCACTGAGGAAATGGCTCAGTTCTTTTTTCTCCCTCCTGAAAGCACACAGAATGTGTAACTCAAGGATGAGTTATCTACTGCTCAGTTCTCCTGAAAAGTGCATCAAACGCACATGAGCAAGCGTAACTTAAGGACTTCAAATTTCTGATTTGGAACTTATTCCCACATTTCTTCAAGTAGAGTGGAATATCTGGAGTATTCTTTTCAGTAGCTGTCCAACAGGCATGGTGGTATGGCACATGGTGGGGAAGACGTTTGTTTTTTTTAAAGAATTAAATTAATAGATTTAGTAATATTTAGCATACAGTAACTGCCTTTAAATTGGGATTCTTAAGCGCTTTAGATAGGACGCTTGGGGAGGGTACAGGGATGCCAGCCGACTGTCCCCGTGTTCATAGTTAGAGATCAGTATTCAACAGCATGGCATGAACTGAAGTTATTTTTACTTCATTTTTCACATTTGTAGGTAGAACTAAGATTCCTAAACCACAATGAGAAACAGTAGAAAAAAGGTGATAAATACAAGACTTCGTCACTCACGTTAACATTTGCATTGCATAAAAAAAAAATCTATTCCATGTGTAAATCTGAAAAATGAGAGAAAGAAACAGGTCCCCTGCTACATGCCGGTCTCAGTTTTGGGAAGGAGAATCCAAGAAAAAGACCAGCGATACCTGCTCCTTGCTCTACTTGTTCTGAGACTGAAATAAGTGATTGACAGTGCTAAATCAACCTCCAGCAATAGTTGGCAGGTTTTGGGTTGGTTGGGGTTTTTTTTTAGTCAGAAGATGTTTATTAGAATGATGAAGGCCTGATTATTTCTAATCACAGAATTTCACTTTTGGAACTTAAAACTAACCTTTAAGCATGTACGTTTTGATGTCGTTCCTAATGTTTGGGGTATATTTCCACTGTGTGGGATCTTAGGGGTTTTTTTTGTGTAAATCTGAAAAATGAGAGAAAGAAACAGGTCCCCTGCTACATGCCGGTCTCAGTTTTGGGAAGGAGAATCCAAGAAAAAGACCAGCGATACCTGCTCCTTGCTCTACTTGTTCTGAGACTGAAATAAGTGATTGACAGTGCTAAATCAACCTCCAGCAATAGTTGGCAGGTTTTGGGTTGGTTGGGGTTTTTTTTTTAGAGTCAGAAGATTTATTAGAATGATGAAGGCCTGATTATTTCTAATCACAGAATTTCACTTTTGGAACTTAAAACTAACCTTTAAGCATGTACGTTTTGATGTCGTTCCTAATGTTTGGGGTATATTTCCACTGTGTGGGATCTTAGGGGTTTTTTTTGTTGTGTTTTGGTTTTTTTAAATGACCAATTTTAAGATTTTTGAGAGAAACTTTAGTGTGATAAATCTAAAGAGATAAGCGAACCTGGCTTTTATTCACCTGAAATTAAAGGCAAGTTTTGCTCTTTCTCTTACGGGAGGGAAGAGCGACGCCACTAATGGTCATCTCGGGTTGGCACTGTTGAAATTCTACTGCGTGTTTACTGGTGATGGTAATGGAGATAACCTTTTCCCCACAGGCAATCAAAAACAATGCTGGATTTAGAGTATGGATCCTATTCTTCCTTGTGATGTGTTCGTTTTCCTTGCTTTTCCTGGACTGGTATGATAATTAATTAAAAATATAGTATTGTCTATATGCTTTGTTTGTAAAACTTCTGACATTTTTTTCAATGGAGCGGGGTATATGGCATACCTGTGTATTTTAGGCATTTTTTCATACCGCTATGATGGAAGTATTTTCCAATGAATAAGCACGTGTATATATCCGTTAGTGCAGAGGGAGCAGCTAGCATTCATTTTAAATCCCTTTATCAAACGTAAAACCACACTTGATCCTGCGAAGAACATAGAAACCTTTGAAAGAGCTGGTAAGAAAGCTACAAGCTGGAGCACAGCTAAGAGAAGGAGGGAAAAAAGCGATAATGGTTTTATCAGTGTCACCCGCGCATCTGTGATGTTTAAAGTCCAGCTCCCAGTGTGCAGAGCAGATCAAGAGAAAATTCTTCCTGTGCAAAAGCGTCTACACTCTCTCAGGCTTTTATTTAATCATACCACTTCAGTACACAGCGATCATTTTGCACACGGATGACCTCTACTTCTGATCCTTTGAAACTACTCGAGTCAGAGATCAGGTTGATTTAATAGTAATAATAATGATAAGTCAACTAAAGAGCTTTACTTCTAGGTGAAAAGAGAGAATGCAACACAGACAGACGGTGCAGCGAAAGAGATGTTCTGCGATGTCAGAACAAAGCCAAAGGATAGATAGTATTAAAGCCAAACTCTTCAAAGTACTTAAATTGGGAGCAATTTGTTAACTAAAAAAAAAAAGTCTCAAAACCAACTGTAACTAAGAATCAGTAAACTCCCTCCTGTTAAATCAGAGGAAAAAATGGTTTTGACTTCAAGAAGCATAAGGGATCTGTTTCTCCTAGATCGTAAAGCTTAGTATTTTTTCAATGTTTATTGTTATGAGAGAAATAAGCTGTTTCTCATCAGTATTTACTTGAGCATTAAAGGTTTCTTTATTTTATTTTTATTGTCCTAAATTTAAGGGGAGGAGATGTATCATGAGTCATTTCTATGTAGGACAGTCTTGGGGAACAGATCTTTCCCTCTTGTAAAATCCGAATGTCCTCTGTAAATATGTTGATATCAAATGTGTGTTTTGCTAGCTCTCTTCTGAAATGTGTATTTCTATACATTATACGCAACAAGCAGCAGCATCCTTATTCTTTACTCTGCACAGAGTGAAAATGTCAAAAGTTACATATGAATTAATTACATTCAACGAAGCATATGCCTGTTAGAAAATGCAAACATGGTATGTTTGGAATATCTTAACATAAGCTTGGAATTTTTAAATGCAAAGAAAAATTTGGCACATCATTTATTGCTTTTTATGCACTCCACATACCCTACTGACTTAATAAAAAGCCTTCTACAGCTATGCTGTGTAATGCACATTTCATATCAAAACTAGAGAATTAAGTAATAATGGTTATTTTTACTGTATTGGTAAGAAAGGTGGTTGATAAAGCAATTCTACTGGAGAAAAATAAAAGTAGTGCTGACCATGTTTGTTCTACTACAGATCTTGAGAAAGGCTGCTGTCTTCCCTTCATTTTTGTATAGTCTCTACCAAAAAAAGGAACTTTTGACATGTCCACTACACCTTGTCCCATTCAAGTTACGTGAACAGAAAGGTCACTTGCTTGCCCAGATGCTTCACACACTTATTTTGTCTAACTGTTAAATTAATGTCTTTTTTGTAATATATTTAAGATTTATAATAAAAATGAAAACATGGTTTCACACAAAGAATAGATAAGTTTGTAATTACAATGGAACTTTAACGTGCATCCACAATACTATGTTCTTCTACATCTTTTCCCCTCCCAAGCCATACATAAACATTTCTACTCTTCACTGTTTCACACGTAGCAATAAAACAGCCAGTTGTGTTATCTAGTACGCTATTGTTTCACTTATGATGCTCTGTGTTCTAAAAAGTATCAAACTGCAAACCATACATAAACTGAAAGGCCTTTCTAATTAATAAAAAGGGAAAATGTTAAGGTAATAAAAGAGAAAACTTAGAGACATTACTCCCTCAGTTGTATCCACCGAATTACATAGTGGACTACATCTACTGTGAATAGGCTTTCTGCCTCTTAAGTATGATCAAAAGATGTCATTTCTCATTAGAACATCCTGAACTGTGTATTTTTTACACTATCCTCCACATCCATCACTAAAACTGTCTGTGTTTTTCCATAATGTCTATCTAGTTTGTGTTCCAGTGCACATCCTTATCAAGATGCTAAAGCCACAGTGGAAATGCAGTTAAATCCTGTCGACAGCAATAATAAAACATTGAGCATGCCATGTTGCAGAGAACTTCATTATCACTTACAAATAAATAACAGTAAAGAAAAACGTAAGAAAAGTGCTACCTGACAGTTTCTTTCTCCATACAAGTCGTTACATTATGCCCTTGACATCAATGCTGACTATCTTTCTTGCTTGAGCCAAAACTAAATATTAAATACAGCTTTCAGCTAAACAAGAGATCACTCTAGTTATGGCTGGGGTGTTTCAGTTTGCAAAATGACAGAGTAAAAAAATTAATAAATAAAGTATCAGTTCAGACAACAGAACACATGATTTATCTAAGGTCCAAGCCCTGAAAATCCAGTGAAGAAATCTGTCAGTATCCAATAAACTGCAAGAACATATCTAACATTGGATTTTTTTTAACATTGAAAATGGTGTCAAAGCTCTAAAGCAATGCTGATATGCACCTTGTTTTATGCCCATGAATGTTCTGCAGCAAGTTTTTGGTTTTTTTCTTTTTGCAAAGCGGTATCAGCAAACAGAAGCAATTGCACCATAAACATGAGTAACCTCTAAATTATCCATAATTATATTTAATGAAAAGTTCCTTAAAGTCCCTTAGTTACCTTCAAATGACATAGTGTTAATAATTAGCTTATCATACTAAGCTGATTTCTCAGCGGCTTCAGTCTCCTGTTCAGATAGTTTCTCTTCTGACAGTACTGTCATCCACGGGGACACTGAGCGCGTGATGGTTTGTTTGGCCAGATTGTAGTGGTTTATGACTGTGTAAAATTTCCCTCCAGCACTGGAGTCTTGTTCAGAGTAGTAGTTTTCCAACCCAGCTGGAATGCACTGATTATTCTGAAAAGAAAATCCATCACTTAGATTACAGATACGGTCCCATACACACCAAAAGTAGGTTAGTTTTTTTCTTTTCCGTTTAGTCTAAGCCAACGTTCACTTTCTGAGAGTCAAGATGCAACATACAGCAATTAACTACAGCGTTGTCCTACTGTGTTCAAAATGTTCTCCCCTGCAATCCTTAAACTACTCGTGCGTTTGCCAGGAAGACCAATCTGGGTTTATATGCCAGGATAATTAACACACAAGAAACCTGCTTGCCTAAAATTATTTTTAAAAGTACTCAATCTCTAGTTCCAGCTGTATTTTGCTGTTTTTTCCTCCCCGCCTTGTTCCAACTGTCTGGTCTACAATTACTCATGTCTGTTATCCTACTGTTAGATTAGCTTCAGGCACTTTAATACCGTGTTTTCAGGCTGAGGGACAAATTAATAGATATATTGGTGCCAAGGTATGAACAGTTTTATAGCCCAGTAAATAAGACACAGAGGGAAAACACTGTGGGTGGCCAAGCTTATGTGCAAGTGTGTACACACATACAAAATACTTCACTCTTGATTGTCAGAAAGATGTAGCCAACAGCAGGCTTTTAAAAAGCTATCTTTAGCTGTGGGACCATGTTATTTCATTTCCCAGAAGCGTAAGAGCACTACATAGAAGATGCTAGATGCTCAGAGCTTTTGAAAGTGAAATACCCGATTTAGAGAGAGAAATACTAAGCAGGATCCAAACTTTGCTGTCATCTTAAAAACCAAAGTGAATGTGCACCTGCAGTGCATTAGTCAGCAGGTATCATCTAGCAACCGTTCCAGTGATGACGCAGTAAAAGCCTACGAAGCAGCTAGTTGCGCTGAAGGAAAAAACGACTTAGACATATCCTGTGACCCCCCCCAGGTTTTGCTCCAGCAGGTCACAGGTCTCTCCGCAGGTCCTCTGCCATATCTGCCAGTCCAGGCAGTCTGGCCTGATACTTCAGAGTGTTGGGGCAGCCATCGGGGCAACTGAACCGACCCTCTAAAATAGAAGCTATGAGTAGCTGCAGCTTGAGGAAAGATAAGTTTAATCATTTCTACTCTGACTGTTTTAAGAAGAAATAGGCTGTTTGGTCTTCCTGCTTCCAGCACCGGAAGACTAGAATTTGTAATACTACAGCACAGCAACTTTGAACTGCTACTCTTCTCATAGAACTTGGCAAATGAAACCTAATACTGGAAATTTCTGAGCACAAAAACACATGCAAAAATGTCACGGTTTTTAGGACCAGATGCTATCTCAAATATGTCCACATTTACTTTTGGGTTGACTCTTGTCAAAAAAAAAAAATAAATAAAAAGAGAAGTGGCATAAGCAAGCACCAGTAACAACAGTTTCAAATGGTTTAAATGGCAAAGCACAGAATGATTGCGGGAAAAATCCCATAGTCTTGGCTTAATATGAATTTTGCATCCTAAAAATGTTAGAGTGGAAAAAAGCATCAAAAGGTATGAAAGAAAAAAGCAAGACTCGCCAAAACAATAGGCCTACAGGTAGTCTTTCGAACCTGCCTGCCGCTGATGAATACAATCTTGTGGCAAATTTGACTGCTGAAAGAAGACTCGCTGTCACAAGACTAACAGTTCTCCCACGGAGTTAACACCTCATCGGTTCTAACCTGCTTGTGTGACAGAAGCCTCAACGTGTGTCAGACTCACAACAGTGCTCAAAGTTGCCACATCCACCCAGGTTCGGTTTGTTTGTTATCTTTTGTTAACATAGCAGCCAGGGCGCATCTTCCCTCACAGTTTTGTTTGAAGTAGCACTACAAAGCAGACGGGATTTAAGCCCGGCTAAGCAGACACTTGTGCCTATTCAGCACTGTTTAAGTCAAGAGAGGTTTCCCCACGGTCATAATCACTATATAGGTCAGCTGCAAGACCAGGACCTAGGTTTAACAAAAAAATAATCCAGGACAACTCTGGAGTAGAGCTATTTGATATGCATGTTCACCTACATCAACCATGCCATCTTCTGGAAGTATTATCCATGCTTTATCTGGGATAACTGACACTACTTCTGATGTGATAAAATGACGAAGTATGTAGACACAGACATCTTTGTAGTGATTATTTCACCCAGTCATGGGATGTAGTCACAATTCTAAATATTTAAAATGGGGGAAGGAACACAATCCATTGATCTAATGAAATCTGCCAAGGAAATTCAAGCAAATATAATTATTAGTGCTGAACACAAGCCAAGGCTAAAAAAATGCCACAGAATCTTTTGTTGCTTTTAGAAGTGATTTGCTTTGTAACAGGCAAAAAAAAGACTCAGTAATGTTATTTTTTGTAGTCACAAACATGCACAACATCTGACAGAAGAGCCTAAAGAAACACACAGCAGAGTTTCCACCTTGACTGCATTTTTGCTCCTGGGATTTCGTGCTTCTAGAAAAGACGGGAAAAACCTCCCCTTTACTCATTGCTCCCTGTGTACTGCCCAAGGACAGCTCCCTTTGCTTAGCTCCTAATCAAGGCAAGCCATGCAGCACTCGGGAGTGACCGAGCGATGGAAACTGGTGCCGATTCTCACCCTGCTGCTTGCCTGAGACCTTCAGCTTATGCAGGACATTTCTCTCCATCCTTTTTATTTGTTTCCATTGTTCCCAGGTGAGAGAAGTAATAAGGAAGGCCATGAGGAGAAATCTGGATGCTCCAGAGTGAGTTGCCAATCTCTTGTTTCTTTCACAACCCTTCTATTTCAGAAATGAGTTATGGGTTAAGGCCTTTGATGCCAGAGAAAATCCTGGTCTGTATCTGGCTGTATTAAGATGACTCCTTTTGTTCCTTTGACATAAAGACCCCAGTGGTATTCACTTATAAATAGTATCTCCTGTCACATTAACTTTGCTGGGTCAGTAATTCCAAACTTAATAGATGATGGTGTTGTCTTTAAAGCATTGAAGTTACTCTGTTGTACTGACCATGAGTCTGACCGAACACAGGTGCCTTGGCAACAAAAGCTAAAGGATAACAGATGCAGTATGGAGCATACCGAAGCCCTGGAGAAATTCCTCCAGGATGTCAGTGCACTCAGGTCTTTGAGGAGAACTCCGGTGAGTCTCGCCAACAGCCAGTAAGAGTGCTTCAGAGGACTGATCTGCACAACAGCAGTATTAGGGCTGCGTCAGAAAGCTTGAGCAAGCACAAATTTTGTGCTCAAGCAGTTTAAGATTGCTATACAAAGGAAAATAAGCACCTTTTCAAGCACACCTTCAAGCCCTGGATGTGCAGGACAGCAGAAAGGCTGAAAACACCGAAACCTTTGGAACTGCTCCATGTATGAGAGCATCAAAGCAGAGAAGAGTGAGTCTGACTCACAGCTGCGGTAGCTCAGCCTTTATGCAGAGATTCCCATGGTACCAGGCTTCCTGAGGCAGAAGACACCTTTGCCCTTAACCGGGAAAGCACCAGAGAATGTTGTTGAGTCCACCTGAAGCACAAAACCAGTCCACAGAGACATTGGTCACAAGGTGACAGACTTCTTCATCTCTCGTAGGACATCTGTGCCAAGCTATGCCATGACGAATTATGGACCCTTCCAAAAAAGATGCAAAGGCAACACATACAAATTCATGTCAACACTGCTAGTTTCAGGCCTTGTGTCATTTGCTAACGTGTTTATCCTGTAAAACTCTTCAGAGTTACATGACCAAAGATGCTGTGTCTCCTGGCATTATGTCATCAAGCAGCTAGGAAACAGCCTCCGCAAAACCCAATGCTGGGAGAGTAATAGTAACGCAGCCCTGTGTACGTGCTGCACCTTAAAAACAACGCATGAGCTATGGGACGTTCTGCCCAACCTGTTTCAAACACAGGGCCCTAAGGAGAGAAACCCAACCAGACTCTGTTCACAGTGCAACTGAAATATAGCTAAGAAACTGTTCTCCCCTTAAATATTTGCAACACTAGGAAGAAAAGACAAAAGAAGCCAGAAGACTGCAACTCAAAGGAAGGGACAACGTGGTATGAAAGGAAGCAGAAGCAGCAGACTGTTACTAGACTTATGACAGGAGCATGTAACTGGCCGTTCCTGTCAAGTCAGGATCACATCAAGATAGGCTCAGTAGGAACATACAGTCCAAATTGCTCAAAGCCAAGAGAAAGCTTAGGGAAAAAAGGCTATCGTCCCATGAGACAGGAGC